TATTTATCCGACCGTGTGATGTGAAATGGAGGCTGAAGCAGAAACAAGATTGAAGGTAAAGTTTAGGATCTGCTCCAAATGATCAGAATGAATAATGTAGATTAAACTTTATTGTACATGTATTTAACACCCCAAATTCGGTTTAGAATCTAACGGATATTGACATTAGGCAGTAAAGAAAAATGTTCAAGAAGAGGAATAACATGTACAATGACCACGGTTCTGAACATTTTTCAAAAGGATAGATAATTCGGCTGCTTTTTGAACAAGTGTGCTCTCACAGTTTGAGCCAAACCGTTTGTTTATGTTTTTATGGTTAAATCCTGTTTGCAGATCAATTCTATCTTCTCATCACAGGTGGGTTAGGCCACGCCCCCTGGCTGCTACCTGCTCAGCAGAACCGTTTTAGGCCACGCCCCCTGTCTACCTGTTTAGGACTTCTGGGTTAGGCTACGCCCCCTAGATGATACCCTATTAAAAAAGACAAGTTAGGCCACGCCCCCCATCTACCACCTGCTGAACACATCCGGGTTAGGCCACGCCCCCTTGGCTGTTACCTGCTCAGCAGAACTCCAACGAGAAAAAAGTCCAGAAAAAGAGGAGACCCGGTGGATCTCCCCCATCTCTCCCCGGACTCAGGGACCCCAGGATGAGCCTACCGGACTGCGGGTCCACGGGGACCCCGGAAGCCCCCCCGGGGGGAAAACCCCCCCCCCTCCGGGGGGGGGGGGTTGCGGTATCAGGAAGATAAGTTCCGGTGATACGGGTCAGGGCTCCGGAGACCTAATTTAACCTTAATTAAAAGTCCTTATTTGAAATTAAATAATACAAAAATATCTATTAAATTTATATTTAATAACCTGGGGGTTTCTACACGAGCTAAACGTGTGTTTTCGGGCTGAAACACGCACCCAAACCGCGGCTCTCCTCTTTGGAGACATCCGGAGTTTCAGGATTTTTTTCCGGGTGTTTTTGTTTTTTCTCTGAGTGGCTCGTTCCGTCTCAGGATGATGGAATCTAATCTAACTTCAAGGAAGTTTGTCTCGGGAAATCTGCCCAGAGAAGTGAAGTTTTACCAGATAGATAGATGTTTTGTGGCTTTTAAAGCTGGAACAATGGGTCTGCTTTTGGAGTTGCTTTGGATAAAAGCATCCAAATGCAAAAACAGAAACATAAAAGCCCTCAAAACAGCTTTAAAGCCCCAAAAAACAGCGTGAAAAGCAACAACAAAAAAAAACAGCTGGAAAAGCAACAGAAAACAGCTTTAAAAGCAACAAAAACAGCTTTAAAAGCAACAAAAAACAGCTTGAAAAGCAACAAAAACAGCTTTAAAAGCAACAAAAAATACCTTGAAAAGGAAACAAAAACAGCTTTAAAAGCCCCAAAAAATAGCTTTAAAAGCAACCAAAAACAGCTTTTAACACACCAAAAAAACAGTTTTAAAGGCAACAAAAAACGGCTTTAAAAGCAAAAAAAAAACAGCTTGAAAAGCAAC